TAAGGGCGAAGTTTTTGAGCAGACATGACCAATGCTAGAGCCAATTTCTCAATGTTGGAGTATCGTGTCTTCGCATCTTGTAAGGCTTTGCTAGCGTAGTAGACATGCCGTTCGACATTACCATCCTTTCAAATGAGAACGGAACTTACTGCTGAAGCCGATACCGACAGATATATAATGAAAGTGTCACTAACCTCTGGTTTGGAGAGCAAATGGGCTTTACTCATGTAGTCTTTGAGGTTCTTGAATGCTTCAGCACATTCATCAGTCCATGTAATGTACTTCTTACTTCCCTTAAGTTCTTTGAAGAAATGAGCACATCTGTCGATGGCCTTAGAGATGAACCTAGTTAAGCCTGCCATTTTACCAGTAAGACTCTGGATGTCTTTTGAAGTTACCGGTTCCTTCATGTCGAGGATTGCTTTGATCTTCTCAAGATTAGCCTCAATGCCCCGTTGGCTTATCATGAAGCCTAAGAATTTGCCAGAGCCTACGCCGAAGGCACATTTGTTGGGGTTCAACCTCATTCGATACCTCTTCAGAATGGTGAAAGTTTCAGATAGGTTGGTGATGCGCTTGGTCAGCATGTTTGCTCTTGACTAGCATATCATCAACGTAAACTTCCATGCTCTTCCCAATCTGTTCGGCGAACATTGAATTGACCAGTCTCTGATAAGTTTCTCTTGCATTCTTTAGGCCGAAGGGCATGACTTTATAGCAATATAATCCCCTGTCAGTAGTGAAGGCTGTGTGTTCTTAGTCCGGAGGGTTCATGAGGATTTGGTTGTATCCTGAGTAAGCATTCATGAAGCTCAGGAGTTCACACCCTGTCGTAGAGTCTATAAGTCTGTTTATGAGAGGAAGAGGAAAGCTATCTTTCGGGCATCCTTTGTTTAGGTCGATGTAATCGACACACATTCTCCACAAGACCTTTTGGAGCAGGAGACTTTCCTTGGTCGGATTCTTCTTAACAAGACAACATTTGCTACCCACGTTGGATAATTGACTTCGCGGAGGAAACCTATGCCTTTGAGTTTTTCAACTTCTGCCTTCATTGCCTCGTACCGTTCAGCGTCATAAGATCTTCGCTTCTGTCTCACTGGCTTGGTCTTGGGGTCAATACTTAAGCGATGACAGATTATATCGGGAGAGATGCCTGACATGTCCTCGTATGACTAGGAGAATACCTCAGTGTTCTCTTGTAAAAAAGAGATCAATGCCAACCAAATGGGTGGTGACAAGGTGGTACCAATCTTCACTATGCGATCCGGATAATCTTTTGAGATAGAGACCTTCTCCAACTCTTTAGCGGGTTATGCTTGCTGGGTGAAAGAGTCATCTCGAGGATCGTTGGGTTGACTGTTGCCACCATGAAGATCCAAGTTGGCTTCGTCTGGGCTGGTCTTTATAACTTGGTCATGTATAGAAAGGGTTTCCTTAGGCACAGGCAGGTGTTATTGCTTGACCGAAGTGTTGTAACATGATCATGCACTAAGTTAATCTCCTCTGATGTAACCATTGCCATAGAGGGTTGGAAATTTCATCAATAACATATGTATGGATACTATGGCCTTGAGATTATTGATGCCTGTGCATCCGAAGATGACATTGTATGTCGTTGGGCAATCAACCACCAGGAAGTTAGTGGTAATGGTAGCTGTGTAAGGGTCTGTACCAATGGTGAAAGGTAAGTGTATGCTCCCCAAAGGTTGCACGATATCATCGGAGAAGCTTATCAGAGGGAAAATCGAGCGGTCGAGCAAGTGTTCAGCTACATTAAGTGCCCTGAAAGCTTCAGCAAACATGATATTGACCAAAGCCCCCGTGTCTACCAGGATTCGTTGTACTTCAAAGTTGGCTATGTGAACTTCCACGATCAGTGGGTCGTTGTGAGGGTAGATGATACCTCTTTCTTCCTCAGGGTAGAAACATATTGGATCCCAGTTAGGCTTTTGATACTTACCTCCCCTGATGTCTTCCACGTGAAACACTTGGTGGTCATACCTTAAAGCTCGTTCACTATTTTTCATGGCCCTGTTGGAAGATTTAGATATGGGTGTGCCACCACTTATGGAATATATCACATTTAGCTGGCGTTGGTTACAGTTACCCCTTACAGGGTGAAAGAGGAATTGATTAATTTTTCCTTCACATGCCAAAGCTTCAATATGATCACGAAGGGTGATACACTTCTCGCCGTCATTGCCGTTATACTCGTGGTAGCAGCAAAACATGCCCGTGTTCTTTGTGGGCTTGTAATTCGGGTGCCTCAGCTTTGGCTTCGGTATCAAGTATGCTATGCTGGGGTAAATGGCCATGCATATGGCGTTCAAAGGTGTGTATGCCTCATACCTCGGGGTAGGGGCTATCCTGACACGTGCTTGACCCACTGTGTTGACTGCATGGGGTCGGGGATTATCATGGCGATATCCTTGGTTATAACGGTAGTGTCCCTTACTCTTTTTACTAAAATGAGACTGGTGAGGATGGAAATCTTTCCCTTTGCCCTGAGATTGATATGTTTGTTGACTTGGCAAAGTATTAAGTAAGGCAGGGGGAGGCACTGCTGCCGTTTGGAAGGTCGAGGTCTTCTCATTTAGTTGGATCTGGCTTCCACTCCCTACTTGCTGATAAGGGGTGGTTGTGGGGGGTTTCCCTTGATATGTCCTTGCCTCGGCGGATGCATGGTTGTAAGCATGTGCCATCACCTCAGAGCAAGTCTTCCATGTGTTGGCATTGATCATGTACTTAAAGAAACAATCACGTAGGCCTTGAAGGCGGTCTTGTCATCTGCCTCAGCGCAGCGATAATACTCATGGCTGAAACGATCGGCATACTCTCGTAGTGACTCGTCGGGCTTCTGACGAATAGTGTACAAGTCATCTGCAGAATGCAAGCGATCGGTCTGGAAGATGTGTTGAAAGATAAACAGTTTCCTCAGTTCCTCAAATGAGTCCACTGTCTCAGGTGGAAGACAGCAATACCGGTTTAGAGCTCCGCCAGAGAGGTTAGAGGGGAAGAGAAGACATCGCTCTTCGTCGGTGTGCATCCGATATACCATGGTGGACTCAAAGAGGTTAACGTGTTCAATTGGGTCCTCTCTTCCAGTATAGAGTTGTAAACCAAGCTTTTGTTTTGTCTTTGCTTGAAGGGGGTGTCGAGGATCCTCCTTGTGAGAGGGCAGGCCTGGGTTGGTTCCAGTCAGGTATCTCGGCCTGACGTTCGGCCTTCAACTTGTTTACTTCCTCAATGAGCTGTAGGACAAGGGGGTCCTGAGTGGAGTCATGTACCATTGGGATTTTCTTTCGTAAGTCTCCATCGTCTCTTGGAAGTAGGAAAGTTTGAGCAAAGGCGTGTGATTTTTCCTTGGACTCGCCATACTGACTTTTAGGGCGAGTCTGTCGGAATACCTCAGAGTCTCATGTACCTTCATGTTCCTCTGGGACATGTCGCTCATTTCCTAGATTGGCAGCTGGCCTGGGTCGTGGGAGGGGACCCAGTTTTTCAGAAACCCTTGGGTTATTGATCTTCGAGCATATGTGGAGGGGATTCTCTCGACGTTGCTTTAGGAAGTCTCGGCAGTCACGATAAATGGCTTTCTATCCTTCCAACCCTTCTGCAATGAGGTGTCTTCATCCACTTCTTTTGCTTCAGGTCGAAGTAGTTGGGTTGAGAGAAGTCTCATGTTGATCAATGTTTTGATGATTAAGTCGCTCCTCATCAGGGATACCCATGTCGAATGAAGGTGACCCTCTATGTTAGGGGGCACCCAGGTGATGATTGATTTCCACATGGGTAACGAGCTCGCATGTTTGAGTACGCCTAGTTTCGTGGAGCGTCTCAAAGAGCTTCTCATACTGCTCCTGGAGGACCTCATTCTTCATTGCTATCTTGTTATTTTGAGCTTCTAGCTCATCGACTTTAGCTTGAAGAGCAACCCTCTTTCCTTCATTCTTTCGTTGCTTCGCACTAGGTGTAAGAAGGGTGTCATTCTGTGTGCTGTGGCTTCCTTCGCTCCCCATGTTGGAAAGGGATGCTTGGTCAAAAAAGAGTGTACGAATGGTGGAAACCAGCTTGACAAAGCTGAAGAGAGTGGGAATACGTGTCGTTCCCACAGACGGCGCCAAATGTTGATGCACAAAATCAGCAGGGACTTTGGTACAACGGAAAATGTTAAGTTTGTGACCTTCGCTAGATTGCTCCGGTCACTAGTGTGGATAAGTATGTAAATAGATAGGGACATGGAAACAAACACAAGATGTACGTGGTTCACCCAGATTGGCTACATCCACGGAGTAGAGGAGTTCTCATTAATTGTGAAGGGTTTACACAAGTACATAGGTTCAAGCTCTCCTTTAATGAGTACTAGTGAATGATTTAGTACAAATGACATTAGGAAATATTGTGAGAGAATGATCTCTATTTATAGAAGAAAGTTTCTAGTTTCATTCTGACATTGACACGTGTCATGTTGTGATTGGCTTCTGATGTTGACACGTGTCGCGCTATGATTGGCTTCTGATGTCGACACCTGTCGCGCTGTGATTGGTCTCCTGGTTTGAGGGAAACTCTTCTGGATCCTTGAAGGTATAACGTTGACCGGTGCTCAGTAGTTTCGGGATTGGTCAAGTATGGTACAAACAAGTTATAATAATTTAGTACGAAACTCAGTAGAAGAACCAATAGCCACACTTGTCTTTGTTAAAAAAAGTTATCACTCAGTACTATGGTCTGCTAGTATTCATTTTCACTTAAAAGTAAGAGGTCTTAGGTTCGAATCTCGTGGATGGCAAATTCGATAGTAAATTAGGCTACTCATTGTCTGGTTTTGCCGAACTCCTCTTTTTAGTGTAAAAATATCGATATACTAAAAATAAAAATAAAAAAAATAAAAAATAAAAAATAAAAAATAACTTTTGGGTACGTTGCCATTTCGTGTGGCACAACCATATGGACGAAGAAAGGCCAGTGTGTCATTTGAATTTAAGCCCACAAATTGTCTCTCTCTCCTCTCTCTCTCTCTCTCTTCCGTTGTTAAACATCTGAGAACACCAATCGAAAAAGAAGAAAATAAAACATGGGAAGCTTGAGAAGAAGCTTGATCAGCCTCCACCGAGCCCTGAAATCCACCGCTTCCATCTCTCCCGCCGAAACCCATGTCAGGTATTCCCTTCTTTCATCGATTTTCTCCCTCATTTGTATTAACATTTCGTAAAGGCTGTGGCTTTATGTAGTCTGAATTTTCTCTGACTTTGTCGGGGGCGTGATTTCATTTTCCAGGTCTCAATTCGGATACGGTTTGGTTCAGCGTTCTTATTCCACCAACAATGGCAGCAATCCGGACATCGACCTCTCCACCCAAGAGAGCAAGAGGCGCCTATTTAACAGGTCTTTAACTCCATCTTCTTCTTCCTCCATTTTTCTGTTTGAGATTGCTTGTGGAGGAGAGAAAAGCTTTTTCTGATAGTCAAAAGTACTTCTAACTTGTCTAGCAGAAAAAAACTTAGAATTGCTTTTGGCTCATAGAAGCCTTTCTGGAAAAGCACCTGCCATATTCTTCTTCGGGAAGCACTTCAAAATGCTCAAGGAACACTTGAATATTTAATAAATGTTCAACTTGTTTATAATAAAAATAAAATAAAAAAAATAAAAAAAACACTTGTTACAGAAGCCGTTTAGTGCCTGATCGATAAGTGTATTTCGCCTCTGTCAATAACCCAAAAAAATGACAACTAGAAAGTAAAAACGAAATGGTTATCAAACAGACGCGTAATAATTGCTTTGTTGTTTCTGAGACAAGAATTGGTTTGGGTTGTGGAACAGATTGATATACAGGAGCAAGCAGAGAGGGTTTTTGGAGTTGGATTTGGTTCTGGGTAAGTGGGTGGAGGAGCATATCCATTCATTGGATGAACAGGGAATTAAATCTCTTGTGGATGTCCTCAACCTGGTAAATTTATTTTCACTACTGTGATCATCTCATAAGTCATACCCTTTTAAATTTTTGTGCTTTTACTTGGCTTTTGAATGCTGCTTAGTTTATAGTGTGATTAGTAGAGGAGGACTAGGCCGCATTCGAAATTTGTTCTTTGGAACTTCAGTAACAAGTTTCTAGTTTATATGTCATCCTAGACTAACTGAATATGTTGAATTTTACAAGTTTGCTTCTGTTTGTTTAGCCCTCGGCCCGCCCCTCAACCAAAAATAAAAGTATTGGATATGCATCATAAGCTTAGATTTGTTTATTCACGGTGACTCCCAGCATAAGTTAGTGCTTGATTTAACGTCTTTTGTTCATTTTAATTGTCATATTTGTGATTCGTCTGAGCAGTTGACATATAGCTCATAGGATCCAGTGCTTTGGAGAGCAGGGTGACCTGGACACAATTTGTTTTGGTCCTAGCTTCTTCAGTTATTAAATTATAAGCTTTTTTATTCACTTCACTGACATATTAGCAATAATAGTTATTCCACTTAAGAGAAAAGCGTAATGACTTTGCATTTTCGGTTGAACTGTAAACCATCAGGAGTTTTCAAGCAAGCAATTAAAATCAAATAGTTTCGTAAGAAACATAAGATGTTCTAAATCCCTGGATTGCCATCAACAGCTGAAATAACAAAGATTTAGAGTCTGTAAGTAAATACTGTGTTTCCTGTTAGCCTTGCAAATCTTAGCACCCAGTGCATGGTCAGTTCCCTATTCATGTATTTGATGTAAGATAGCCGGAGGCAAGATGTATGGTTTTTCTAGTATTGATACTATGCAAATTGCAAATTTGAATGGCAAGGGAGAGATTCTGATATCATTTTTTTTTTTGGCAACACATTCTGATATCATTTTTCCTCATACAGGAAAACCCAGATCTGTGGAAGTGGTTAATTGGCCAGGAGCAACCCCCCGAGGCACTCCAAACTAATCCTGTGAGAAATGATCTGAAAGTTCAAATTCCATATGTCGCTTGATTCTTCATGGTCTCCGTTTTCATTCAAATGATATGTTTTTGTAGGTTTTTACTGCAGTGCGTAACAAGATCACGAACAACCTGAACAGCTATGCTGCTTCTGAGACACGAGCAACACCTGGCCAGCCATGGGTTAGAGGGTGGGATGATATAAAGAAAAGCCAGGGCTGCCCTATAACGGGTAATCAGTAGCTCTGCCATTACTTTTTCAAGTTAAATTTCGAATGGTATGTTGATTGGTAATGTGTTAGCGATGAAAAATGTCGATTAGAACTTGGAATGCCTCAAGTTAAACACCGATTGGCCTCAATAAAACCAAGAGGTATTGTTGGACGTCTTCTCTCCCTCAGTTCTTATTTTCGATTGTAACATATTTTATATAGTTCATACACTTTGGCATGCTTTCCTGAATGAAAGAAAATAAGTCATGTAATCAAACGGTGCGGTTTTTATGAAACAGAGGATGAGAGATTAATCTTTTGGTTTTTTGTTCTTGTAATGGATTAGTTGTAGCCTTTGAGCAGTTTCAAACAAAACCAGCTTAAACACAGCAACTTGATCAACTGGTATTCTTGTAAGTGGATGTTTTGCTTTCCGTCCCAGACGATTGGTAACGAGTAAGAATGGACTGTCGATACCATAATGTCAATATCATTGTAACTAAAAAAATGTACTAGCAATGTGTGTGTGGTTTGAATTAGCTCTGAGAGTCCAATTAGCAGCTCGGCTTTGCGCCCAATTTACCAAAGCAAAATTACCTTTATGTCCTCATACAGTTGTCATGTGTTGTTCACGGCTCCAAGATAGATGAAAGATTGGATGAAAATTTTAAAATCTAGAGAGTTGAGGGGGGCAAATTGACAAATAGGTATAACTATAAATACATGAAAAGTCTGTGGGTGGAAACGGAAATCCGTAATCTAACTCTCTAGAAACGAGAACATTGATAAGTATCGGTTCTATCGGATATAGTGGGGACAACTTTATGCAGGTGCAACCATATCCTCAATGACCTCCACAAATCCAACCATGGCCATGTCCATGGCTTTTCTTCTCCTCCTCCTCCTCCCGACGCCACTCAATCTGCCGCTGACGACGATGATGACGGCGGTAGAGTCCGCCTCCGACGACCCGGCACCGGCGGCGTGGCCCCACCAGTTCCACTCTGTCCTCTTCATGAACAACAGCAAGGGAGCCCTGCAAGTGGTGGATCTCTGGTACGACTGGCCCAACGGCCGCAACTTCAACATAATCCAAAGCCAGCTGGGGAAGCTCACCTACGACCTCGAATGGGACAATGGCACCTCGTACATCTACACCTTGGACTCCGACAGAGAATGCAACACCATGCATTTTCCGGTTGGCATTCTCCGGCCTGATTGGCTCGACGGCGCTAATTATCTGGGTCAGCAACACGTGGACGGGTTTCTGTGCAATGTGTGGGAGAAGGTTGATTTTATTTGGTACTATGAGGACGTGCTCACCAGGAGACCTGTCCATTGGGTTTTCTATACCGGTATCAAAGTTTTTGTTGCTAATTTATGTAATTGTACTTTTGAAATCCGAATTCGCATTTCGATGGAACACCTTCGTAGCTGTTGTCCATTGGGTTTTCTTTCTTTTTTTCCTTTATAAATGATTGATGAATTAGTGGAATAATGCAGGATATACTGCTCATGTGATGACATTCGAGGTGGGAGCTGTGCTTGAGGATGCCAAGTGGGATGCTCCTGCTCATTGTTTTGGGGAGGAAAAGACTGATTCAGCACAAAGGGGGAGGTCTCCTCCACTTCTACTTGAATCTGTGACGAGTGATTATTCTCATGGCAGGCTGATGAGAGATGAAAGGAGCATTCGAAACATGGATAGCTTTTGAGTTGCTGGAACAACTATCTAATAACATAACAAAGGTTTGCATGTGGTTCAATATTTTAGTGAATATAGTATCGGGTTTTCATTCATGCCTTCTGGGTTCATCAATTGTTCTTCATCATATGAGCAAGTTGAAGTCCCTAAGCCACTTTATCCGTGCCTTAAGAAACATTGTCCAATTTCATGTCCCAAAATATGTACTTTTGACTAGTTGGTCTAGTGACATCCCTATTGGTATGTGGGGAGGAAATTCCAACCGGATTAAGTAAATCCAAATTTGTTCCATTAAATCTTAATCGGATTATCAAATTGTATACCAAATCTATCTCTTATTTATCCAATCGAATGTAGATTGAATTTGTATCAAGATCCGATTTATTGACAAGTATACTAATATGACAAATTAGTTTAGGATAATACCAGGGAGACTAAATTTGTAGAGAAAGTTTTGGAAACTAAATGATGTGTCATCAATAGGAATAAGCACGTTTATCAACGTTTAAGTAATAAACCAATCATTAACTTTCATGTCTCTTAGTTTTCAAAACTTTCTCTACAAATTTAGTCTACCTAGCATTACCCATTAGTCTATCCACACTACGTTTACATTTTATGAAAGGAAAACTAATGAAAAGAGCTTGAAAACTTTGAGTTTTAATCAAAAGGATAAAAATGTGTTGTAAATGAATAGTACCAGGAGTGATTTTTTAAAATAAAAATATTATTTTTGTTAAAAGTGAACAGTCTTCGGAGTGTCGTTAAAACTCGCTTTTATGAAATGTTGGACAACAGTGGTTGATGAATTGGGCTGTATGGGTATGGCCCAAGCCAGTACGGACCCTATTACTACATCGGCAAGTAGATGGAAGAAGTAGGACGGCACGGTGACGGCAACGTGGCAATCGTTGGTGGTAAGCTCTTGAAACAAAGCCGACGGCCGATCCTTCTCTCTCAAAATCCAGATAAACGGCCTTGATGAACCAAACCAATCCGACCCAACCCAACCCATATGATCGAACCAAAATTTCAATTTCAAATTTCAACAGAGAAGTTTAAAAATTATATAAAAAAAAAATAGGTTTATTCAGGATTTAGCAGCTGCGTGAGTTCAATCGAAATCGTACTAGTAGTAGCAGGTACTGAATTGAGATTGTAATAAAATCAAGGAAATGGTAATCGGGTCGGAGCCGGGCGGTGGGAGCTCCGATTCCGCCGGAGGATGGGGCGTGGCGCGCGGGTTGGTGGTTAAGACGCTGGTGCTGATAGGCGGAGCTCTACTGCTGAAGCGACTCACCAAGTCCACCACCCGGTGGGACCACGCCCGCCTGGTTACCCGTTCTCTTTCCGGCGAGAAGTTCTCCAAAGACCAAGCGGCCAGAGATCCTGACCACTACTTCAACATTAGGTCGGTCCCCATAAAACCCAATTGGGCCCCAATTCCTCCTTCCTTTCTTGTTCAATTCAATTGGGTTTTTTTTTGTTTCAAGGATTTTGCAGGTGAATTTTACATGATTTCGGGATTTTCTTGCAGAATGGTAACTTGCCCAGCTGCTGAAATGGTGGATGGTTCTAAGGTTTTGTACTTTGAACAAGTAAGTTTAGTTATTTGCCAAATCCAGCAACGTTTTGGCTGTAAAGTTTGGTTTTTTGTGTTAATTATAAGCTTGAATTTGTGGGGTTTTGGTTAGGCTTTTTGGAGGACTCCTCAGAAGCCGTTTCGACAAGTATGTTGTTGCCTTCAAACGTCAATTCTTGGCAAACTTACGTGCCCATTATTTTGTTATTTTGATTAAATGTTAATGCTACCTGGTTGCAGAGATTTTATATGGTGAAGCCTTGCCCGAAAGAGTTGAAATGTGATGTTGAGGTGGGTGTATAATCCGTTTCGCGGTTTAATTCCAAGAGCATGTTGTTAATGTTATTGTAATCTGTATGTAAACTTATCTTTTTTTCATTGAAAGGCAAAATTACCACCCCTCCCAGCCCTTGGGGGAGTATTCGTTAAGTAAATGTTCACTAGCTCTCTTTTACTTTATGCACTGGCATGACATGAGAATAGACTGTGAGAGATGTAAATCGCGATTCTTTGGGGTTCTGATATGTTTAATTTTTGTTAATAAGCAGCTAAGCTCATACGCAATCAGAGACGTGGAGGAGTACAAGAATTTCTGTGATCGCTCAAAGGATCAGCGACCGCTTCCTGAAGAAGTTATTGGGGTTAGTCTATTTGCATCGAAATCTCAATCTTAGCTTGTCAATGCATGCTTTTAGATTCTCTGGTATCAAAGCCACATCATTTGGTAACTTCAACCTGATATAACTTCTTCAGCATTGAACCTTTTAGAGGATAAATCTTATTTAAAAATGAAATCTAAGATCGTCTTAGTGATAACTTGGGAATTTCACAGGCCTGAATTCTTTTTAAATGCCTTATTTTCAAAACATTCATTACCAGGGACCGTTGATGTTATAACCTTGCCTGTGAGGCTTCAGGCCCAAGCTTGTGAGTAAGCACTTAAAAAATGCTCTGGAGTCGCTACTTCATCCGGGAATTAGATTGATATTTAACCATTTGAAAACATCTATAGATATGCTTTCAAAGTTTTTATTCATACTTATCTGTGTCTGCAGGACATTGCAGAGCATTTGACAACAATACATCTGAAACGTTGTGAGCGTGGGAAACGCTGCTTATATGAAGGTTCAACTCCGCCTGACAGCTTTCCAAATTCATGGGTAATTCTTTTGATCTTGATCCTTTTTTCCTTTTGTTAAGACCTTGTTCTGGGGCCATGGATAACAGTTGGTTGCTTGATAGTTGAAACTGCAATGAATCAAATGACTGTTACTCAATGATATATCGTTTTTCCCTGTTTGTTGCAGAATGGAGCAGCGTACTGTACATCGGAACTTGCAATTCATAAAAATAATGAGATACATGCCTGGGATCGGGGATTTGATGCTGATGGAAATCAGGTCGGTTTCCCTTCTCTTAGTCAGACACTCTTTAATTCCCTTACTGGATGCTGTAATGTGGTAGTGCTCACAGGAACAATTAAAAGTGCTTTGTATTGTTACAGGTTTGGGGTCCTAAGGAAGGTCCGTACGAATTCAAGCCTGTGCCGGCCTCTAGTACCAATGACATGTTTTCTTCTTTAAATTTTCCTATCCAGCAGTCTATGGAGAAAAGAATAGAGGGTTCATTTGTCTTGCAAGAATAATCGTTTATTACCTAAACGGCTATAACCATCCATGTAAATGTTCATATTTTTTGTAACTCCGCTCTCTTAATTGGTATTTCACATCAGTTACCATCTCTCACTTCTTGTGTTTCCGAGTACCTTCCTATATGTTACAAGCAAAATTTGTTCATCTGCCACTCTGCCGGTGTATGGAAACCCGGCCTAGTTCACGCATACTTCACTTTGTTTTCTGGAAAGAGGATGGACTTACCTACACCCCCCGGGATGGGATGCCATTGTGGTGTCCCGGACTATTGTGCATTGAATTTCAGGTGTGATGAAAGTAAATTGAACAGAAAGATTCAGAAAAAAGCTCCCTGATACGAGCATTCGACGAATGTTCAATAATTCGAGGTTACAGTAACACTTTCTATCCCTGAAAGCCGACATTGATGTAGAAGTACAATCCAACAAGCGCCACAGCTCCGACGGCGACAGCAATAGGCAGCGCCTTCCCGATTGTTTCTTCTCTCTGCAACTGCGCTTTTCGCTGCTTTCGGACGTCTTTGCTGTTGGCGTCCTTGGTCACCGGAGGCTGGTATGGCCTAAACCTCCGTTTCGGAGCACCACAAACTGCAAACCACAGATTACTTGCACGGGTTAAATTAAAAAGTCCCGATTTAGTCTCTGAATTATTACCTTAGTAAAAATTAGATCCTGAATTTATTTTTCGGTAAAATAAGTTCTTAAATTGATTAAAAAATGCTAATTTCATCTCTACTATTATATTCAAAGCTATTTTATCCAATTTTTCTTAAACTTAAGTTACTTGACACACTTTAGAATGTAATACCGTCATTTTCTCATCTATAAGCCATTCACATTTCATATAGGTTGCGAATCTAACATCTAATTTATCCTTCAAAGTTAACTTACACTATTTCTTATGTAAAACTACCAATTTACCTTCTAAAGTTAACTCTATACACTATTTCTTTATGAAAAACTATCAATCTACCCTCTAATGTGTATCATATACAAGTAACGTGATTTAAATTGATGAAAAATTGCATATAGTAGCTTCGAATATAATATTAGGGATGTAATTGGCAGATTTTTGTAATTCAAGGACTAAATTTTCTGAAAAAATAGTTTAGAGACCTAATTTTTCCTAAGGTAATAATTTAAGGATTAAATTGGCAATTCACCCTAAAAACTACACCACATTTGTACTGCATCTAAAAAAAAAGCTTTGTAATTTGAGAGTGAAATGCATGTCATGTGTAAAAAAATGAAGTGAGTAATTTTCACCAGGGCAGAAATACTTGTCAGGTAACTTCTCAAAGGGAGTTCTGTCGTTGTATATATACCTGCAGCAGCATCACCATGGCCATCAAGATTAAAGAAGAACAAAGAAAAACCCAAATTCGAATCCCGCTCCCGTAGATTAGAATAGTTAGAATATCGCCTTGTTAGAAATAAAAGGTGTAATATGTGGTACCCGCAATCGCGACAAATATATGCTCCTTTGGAGGCAACGCGCATGGAAAACTTGGGTGCGGCGGAAGAAGCACGAGGCCTGTGCTTGGGAGAAAGCAATAAGAGGTCGTGTGACGAAGAGAAGAAGGATGATTTTAGCGCGAAACGATCGGGCGGTTGTCGGAGGCCGGCATTGCCCTTCGGAGCTGCCAACGGAGACGGTGGCGCTAGGTGGCTTCTTGTGGTGGGTGCCTGCAGTTGCAGGGCCATGGTGTCGGATGGTAGGGAAGTGAGTGAAAAAGTAGAGTTGGAGTGACGGGAAGATATGAAGAGGATAAGAGAGCGGTGGGAACAAAAAAGGTGAAGTGGAATTGTGCGAGTCTCATTGGGTGTCGCGTGGCCTTCGAAATCGCCACACACCAATCACTCACACCCACCCCCATTCACACCCACGACCCTCTCGACACTTCTATTTTATTTTTTCTTAGGTCCCTAGTCTAACATATCCATAATACCCTGATATTTCTATCCAAATTTTCGTGTTTTTGGATTACCGATATTTTTTTGAACTACCGATATTTCCGATATCATTGATATTTTAGACGTTGCTAAGTCACTCATGTATCTTACCATGCAATGTATAAAGTGTAAAATATTGTACTAATTCATTATATATAAATGATTATGGTGTGTTTAAACTTCTTTCATTAATTACTACATATTTTCTACACACACAATATTTGCCAGCTCGCTATATAATCAACCTAAATCAGTTATATCTATCATGCAATGCATTTCCTTCCAATTTTTTGTGATAAACTAATAGATAATTGACTAAATAAATATCCTGCAAAGTTTCAATAAAAATTTCCAAGTTTTTCTTACAATTTCCGTGGTTTTTATTCAATTTTTATCGATATCGATAATATCCCAATATTTCCATCGAAATTTCTATGTTTTTGGACAACCGATATTTCCGATATCATCGATATTTTATACCTTGGGTCCGTATGATTATTGTCAGTTTATAATAGTATCGGATTCACTATTTACGAGATTCGAATCTAATATTTCGTGGATAGCGAATTCGATACCAAATTAGACTGCTTATTGTATGATTTAGCTGAAATCCGTGTTTTTATTATAAATATTTTGAAAAATTTACTAACATTTTGAAAATATTTCTTAGAACGCACTCGGTGCCTTTTGAAAAAGTAATTGGAAATACTTTGTAAAAAAATATTAGAAAGTGTTTCTTGATTCAACAGGCATGTCGAAATTTTTTCTGCAAAATATAGTCACTCTTTTGGTTGTAAGAAGATATTTTTAGCCGTTCCGAAACGAATCTTAATCGAGTGCTTTTATTAGCAAGTGGTTTTTTATTACAATGGTGGAAAGAAGTTAAATCTTTACACGACAGTATGGATTTGAATCTCGTCGGTGGCTAATCTAACAAAACATATTTTTTGACAAAAAAATAAATAATAAATAAAGTGTTTTTATTATAAATGTATTAAAAATTTACTAAAATACCCTCAATTTAACAGAGATTTGTACAGAATGACCAAAATGGTTGACGGTGGACAATCTCAGAAACCATTTATATTGATTTAAAATTGTAAGAACTAAAGTGAGGAATTATACTAATCTCATGGACCATTTTGACTAAAAAGCATTCTTTTGGTTGTTAAGGCCTTTCCAAAACTAAAAAGCATTCTTTTGGTTTTTACACTCTAAATTGTAAGAACTAAAGTGAGGAATTATGCTAATCTCATGGACCATTTTAACTAAAAAGCATTCTTTTGATTTTTCTGATTTATGACTTCTTGTATTCTAAAACGAGTCTCAACGAGTGATTTCGACAACTCCCTTCACTGATTGGAATGCGAGAAGTTATAAATCAGAAAAATCAAGAATAGAGGGGAGAAGTCATGGTTCATAAGAACGAAATCAACATCAGTAATTCCAATTCACATTCCAAAGTTAACAGGACATCTTCGTGCCCACGAGAAGAAAATTACCGTTTTGCCCCCCAAAAATAACCTTTCTACATGGTGATGCAGACAAGTCTGGTGTGGGTTTCGGAAGTTACTTGAAACTAAACGATGGAAAAATCACCATCATGGCTTTCATTGAAGTTATAACAATCCAAGTCAAAACTACAAAAAGAAAAACATATAATCTTGAGACACTTTCACGAAATCCGAATTTTTACAGTGTCATGAAAATCGGCATCTCAACTACAACAAAATTACTACTGTAAAGTTTGGAGGCTTGGCTGAAGAGGAGTCAAAAGTCATAGCAGCTACCAAGGCTTCAGGTCGCCCACCGGCCCTGCTGTCCAGTTCAGGATCTTCTCACCTGGTTTCAAGAAAACATCAGGGCTGTGCGGCAACTTGCGCGCGAGTCCATTCAGAACTTGGTGGAAAGCATCTCCTGATTCGGCTGGCTGTGGGAATAACATTGCTTGCTTCATTGAAGGGTTTGCGAGCAATCTCTGCTTCCTCAATATCAGTTCAGGTGGGATTGAAGTGAGTATGGTGTCCAAGTTGGGGACGTCCTTCTCATCAACAAACACGCCAATCTCTTCCCAAGGGATGGCATCGGCAAAGGGTAGAACAATGTCGTCTGCTATGATAACAGGAATGCAGCCAAAAATCACTGCTTCGACCAATCTTGGACTCCAGGGAGCCCAGCCGAGAGGGCACAAACAAAAGACTGCTCGTTGCATGTCCTCATAGTATGTGGTGGGGTGCTCGGTAGAGATGTCAAAAAGCGGATTGTCTTTGAAGTTCTCCCACACTGCTGCTCGTGCACCTCTGTACAGTAAAAAAAGTTAGACCATCTCCTGCCCTGACCTATTTTCATATTAGTGTTATCTAGCAAACCAAAGAACCGAAACTCTCATTTCTTTACATATAGGTTATGGATGAATTACCTTGCATAATAACCACCTTCGGGATCATTTCCCACATCATAAAATAATCCTCGGAAGTAAACAAAGATGGACCGAGGAGTTTTCTCAGGAATTAGGTGGGTTTGCATCTTCTGTGGAGGAGCATAAGGAGGAACTGTAATTGAGCCCTCTTTCAAGCAAACATGATTTTTTTGCCCAAAAGTCTGAACCAAAGTTGCGCGTTGGAGCATGGGAAGAATTCCTCTTTCAATAGCCTTCTCTTCCTGCAATAGTTACACAACAAATTCAGATAATTGACATGCTCAAATACAACAAATAAATGTACATCAGGAAAGAAGTAAGCTCTACAGGAATATCGGAACAAGTTAACATATTCCAATTGGTTCAAACATGTATTCGGACCGTCAAAAAACCATGAGAGAACTAAGACGCAAACCAAGCTTCTAAATCTAACCAGATAATGAAAACATGCTCCAAAGTCATGAGGCACTACGAAAAAATGATCAGCCCCTTCTGTCCGGTTCCAATATGGCCAATTCGAAGAAATAAGTTGTATTGCACTTCTCATCATCCGTGGTGACTTGAAAGGCAACGGAAGGCCATTGGGTGTCAGGTCACAAGTGGTGTATACAGGAGTATAAAACCAATCTGCTTCTTCAGGATTAAGGGTTCGGACGGGGCTAGACAGGAGAAACCGATGCATAAATATCTCAGCTGCAAACATGTGGTTGAGGCATCTGGGA